TACATACATACATACATACATACATACATAAATTCATACATACACACATACATATATACATACATAGCCCCTACATACCTCCACTGCCAGCTCATCAGATTCGCAAGTAAGCGCCAGGGCCCACAGCCTATCTAGTCCAATCAGATCGTCTTTCGGTTTATGACCGTCAAAATTGACCTGAAGAGCAGAGGGTGCGTGCGTGTCGTGCAGGAGTTATCAGTGGTTATGCGCAAGTATGAGACACTCATGTCCATTGTTGTAAAGACGAGCTGTGTGTGAGAAGCAAGTAAGGTACACATATGCATACGGTTGGCAAGACATATACGCGTACATGTGGTGTGTGCTTATAGGTAAAAAGACAGGTTTATGTGCAGGATGTATCACTGAAGTAAGCCTTTTCAGTCTTGGGGCTTTTCCGAGGCAGACATTAGATGTACTCTCGAGGTGTGGAGCCCAGACGCCACCTCCGCAGCCGCAGAGGTTGGACAACGTAAGAAATTCGCATAACAAATGCATGTGCATGTGCATGTGTATAAGCAATTACCAACACTCCGCGGCTCTAGAAACAGAGACTACTTACTACCAAGTACGTAAGTGCCAGAAACATTCCACCAATACGGCTAAGGATGCACCAGGCAAGCAGACACTGCCGCGTGATAGAGCACCACCGGCTGTTTTACTTTTAATCCTTTTTTACTACTTACCTTGACGAAGAGTGTCGTGAACAGCTTGAATTCTCCCTTGCTCATATTGGATGGACTCAGACTAGCTCTGTGAGTCGGAGGATTAAATGTTGAACGACGAATGAGAGAGTTATAGAGCTTTGAGCTTTTAAGTGTTTTCGGATTAGATAGGGATTGAACTCTCAGGGCACCAGCCATATCTTGCAAGGTTGATGTATGTTATTAGTGAATGACAGATTAATCACCACTAAACACGTTTGGCTAAGAATAAGACAGATGTAACTGATTTCGTTCCTATACTATACACGAGATGAATAATTTATACATGTATATAAATTCGATTACGTATTCATGTATATATATATATATATATATATATAATATGTATATTCACAAAGGTATATATATATATATATATATAAGTACATACCGATTGGAAAACAGGTATAGTATACTCTCCTTTGGGAATGACGTATCGCCAATGAGCGCATCCAGCCAGAACAGCACTTGCTCACCAAATGGCACACTGGTGGCAGTGTCAATCACTCTGCATTTGTATAACATAGACATATTAGTACAGGCCAGTAAAGCTGTAGTAGAAGAACAGGGATGTTAGTATATGACTTGCCTTTGTACATTAGATAATAAGCGCGTGCAATATAGAGGTAGGCTAGAGTCACATGGCCCGTGTGATGGGAGCGAGCCAGAGTGAAACCACTCCAACGCCCACACAAACAATACGCAACAAGTGGGGTTGGGACCATATGCGCAACACAAGCACGATACTAACCCGAGGACTAAACATATCCATGACAACGGAGACAGAGGCTGATGTATGCTAGCCTATGGAACCATAGTTAGCGGTGGCAGGTACGCCGGTAGACACTCCAGGGTGAGATAATCGGCCACAACGATCACACGCACATGTAGATGAACATTCAAGTCCTTCAGTGTGTGGACGTTTTATTCACACAGGCGCATACGCACATGTGCGTATGAACACAGTTATGCATACGCTCTACTAATTGACTATAACCTCTATCCCGACACACACACAAACACACATACCCTCTACATGGAAAACATCGTCACAGTGGAGGTACTCACTAAACTCAGTGGCACAATTGCACCTGTCTTCCACAAAACATTTACGCACACATACACACTCAATTATAAACGTACATATCAATATACAAGTTTACACATGCCTACACATTACAAACGTGCACACCTATCCAATATAGTATTTTACGCACACACACTCATACTTCTATACAAACCTTTCCTTTATACAACCTTACTTATGCATACACATCGCAAATGTCCACACCTAGCCAATGCACAAAGTTTCACATATAGCGCAAACTTACACAATACTCCCATATTCAAACACACACCTTGTCTGACAGCAGCGCCAGAGTGTGTCCAAATGGTCGCGGGTAAGTGCTAGTCCGCCCTTCAACACCACAGCCAACAAATCCAAACGGTGACTCAGCTGTTCAGCGTTGGTGTAGAATGCATGGCGAACTTCGGGAGAGGCGTCAATCTCTGTCAGGCATCTACGAGCGCGTGGGGAAGCGTTGGTGTGAAAATGTTATATAAAAAATGTAAACGTCTACATATGTATAAATATATATATATATATTTATATATATATATATATTATATAACTTCGTATAATGTATGCTATACGAAGTTATTACGCATATATTTATGAAT